AAATCGTCCAACCGGCTTGCGTGCACATTTGCTGATTCGAGGCGTCTCGGCTTGAGATGCTTTCACTCTTCCTGAACCCTCTTCCTCCGTCACGTCGGAAAAAACTCCTTCAGGTTCTGTCTCGTATGTCAGATCAGCCGTCTCCGAATCACCACTCTCCTCCATGGACTGTCAACATAACTTCTCTGTATTAGGTCTACTTGGCGAATTCACTTTTGATTTAAAAACGGGACAAATACGTGCACTATTCGAGGCTCCAGACGTTTAGTCATTTCATCTTGTACCCATTTCTCTTCGTTGGGCCTATAGTTTCGTACCCACACCGAATCGTTTTTATTCAACTGTTGCCGGATCTCTTTACCCTTGAAATTTCCGATTTGCTTAGCTTTCATACTTTCTATTTTCCTGCTAGTAGAGGGTGGGCGTATAGAAGCAAACCTTGTTCACAGCAGCCTTCCCATCATAGCTTCAGCGGGGGGAGGGGGCAACATTAGTGGTAACATGTGGAGTACTCCTGTAATCTAACAGAAATCTTTGTAGGACAGGTTCAATATCCTCCACAGAATTCTGTAATAAGGCATGCCGCAAGGTTCTTTTACAGTTTTGACACTGTTTTCTATTTCCACTCCATTTGTTTTCGGGTTGTATTATGGAGCCTCTGTTTTGTGTAATACATAATTTTTTTAAAGGAAAATTTGAAAATCTTGAGACTCAAACGCTCAATAATTATCTGAAATTAACACCTAATACCAAACCTAGCAAAAAGCTCTCTTAATATTCTGATTGTAACTGCTGCTGTCATATTAGTCTCATGAAATACTTCTAGTCACTTGTTATGACTATCGATAATATTTTCCTTCCAGTGGACCCAGATAGTCAATATGGACCCTTTTCCATATTTTTTGTTGCCAGAGCCAAGTCCGCTTTCGGTGGATGATCTCTACGTGCTTGGCAAAGCGCGCAGTTTTTCACGAATTCTATATCTGCGTTTAGAACTGGCCACCAAATATATGAGCGAGCCATGGATTTTAATTTCCCTATACCCAAATGCGAGGAGTGCAACTCCTTCATTAGTCGACTTCGCAAGTTCTTTGATCACTACTCTATACCCTCAAAGAACTTCATCTTTCACGACAATTTGTAATTCTCTTTAATTTTATTGAATTGTTGGAGAGCTGGATTGATTTCCCCTGGCCAACCAAATTTTGTTTACCTGATGACTTCTTGTAGTTTGACATCTTTTCTGATTTCTGCAAGCACCTTTTGAAATTAATGTGGCAAATCCACATTATCTTCAAATACCATAATTGATGACAACTTCATCTTTTCCTCCTCCAGTATTCTCGCTTATTGGTGCTCTTGATAACCAGGCAGCTATATTATTCTTAGAATCTACCCATTCAATATCATATGTATAATTAGCCAGCAAGATGGCCCAATGTTATTTTTTAAAATTAATCTTACATTGTACTCTGTTTCAGAAGAATTTATATTGAAAATATGAAAAAGCGATTCAGTATCTAAAGAATCTTTAGTTTCAAAATAGTGAGCTGGTTCGGTTTTATTTCTAATTAGCTGACCCGACCCCGCGTTGCTGTGACTCATTCTGGTTAGATAAAAAAAGAAGTAGAAAAGAAATTAGATGTTTCTAATATATTTTATGTAACAATACTTGTGAACATGAGATATTCTTTGTATAGATATAGATATAGAGAAGCAATCGTTCTCTAAATCTTCCACGAAAAATTACTAAATGTCTAATGCATTATATCTCTACACCAAATCGCCCGACTTTTTTTTCATTCTCTTTTCGGGGAAGGATGTTATATAAATAAATTAAAAGGGCTTCAAGGATAAGACTTTAGCCAAATTTAATTAAAATCGTTACAGCCGTTTCGGCGCTACATTCTATAGCGACACAGGATTTTGTGCCGCCATTCCGAAACGAAATGCCGGAGGGTGGTTAAATGTATATAAAAACATTCCTGAATGCGCAAGAAACATTATCTCAAAGCGATCGGTGAAGAAGTTTCGGAGATTAGCGGTTTTGAACAAACATACATTTACGTTTTTATCAATATAGATAGGCTTTTTAGATGAAAAACACATTCTAGCAAGATGCCCCATTTTAAACCAAACATTACATTCGTAATTTTTAAACTTACAGAAAGAAGAAGCGTGATCCCATTGCCACACACATTCCACTGCTGTCTGCAATCACTTTTGAACGGATCCGGCTTCTTCCTTACAGGAAACTTAACATAATTTATAGGTTCTTGCTTGATTACTTTCTGGCTTAGGTCGTTGAGTTACTGAAGCTTTTTTTGCATGGGCCAATTTCAGTGTTTTTTTTTTTTTATCGATGGTTAAAGTCGTGCCATCTTCTTCAAAAAGTCTATCTCTGATATTTGCTTTTCCCATTCAAACTACAAACTGATTGAACATCCTTCCATCTAGATCCAAGGCTGATATCTCAATCTTTGGAATAATGGTGTCTGTCCAAATTAGGGTAAGAAAAGGGCCAGAAAAAAAAACTTAAATATTTTTTTTTCAACTCTACCAATCTCAATACAATAGGGTCATAAGGCCGAATATTGGTCTTTGCTCAAATTTATGTTTATGTTGATCCTTTGACAAATGACTGATACATTTACTAGCAATAAAATAAAGTGCAGGAGGCCGACACATCGATTCAAGGAGATTACCAGATAATTTGAATGATGTTTAATAAAAAAAAATTAGTCAAACTGTACTAACCTCGATAAAATAAGGTCGTTAGGCTGATCTATTGGTCATTGAAATATCAGTATTTGCACAAACTAGAGGAAGGGCGCCAAAAAAAAATTCAATTCAATTTTTTCCAACGCTACAATCTTATTAATAATGTTTTTCTTTTTTTTATTATTGAAATTTACAACTGTATTAAATAATAAATACAACTAGTAAATATGAAATAAGTAACATGACATGTACAACATGAAGAGAAACTACCCATTGGTAGCACTCCAATTATTAAAATAAAATCATAAGACCGATATATCGGTCTTTTGCTTTAATTTATGTTTATGTTGATCCCTTGATGAATAATTGACACATTAATTAGCAATAACAATAGTATTCAAAGTGAAAGAGGCCGATATATTGGTTTAAGGGGATGACCAGAAAATTGGGTGGTGGCCAGCCAGAAATCTTGCAAGGAACAGCGAGCATTGGCAATCCTGGTTAGACGCTCCCCTACACTGAAAGGCACAACAGGGTGATGCAAAAGAAGATTACATAAAGTGCCACTTCCGATAAGCCGATTTTGAAGAAAAAGTTGCAGTAACATCTCAGGAATATAAAACTCTTAAATATGCAATCTCACTTTCGTACTACTTTTTGTTTTTGAGCTATATTGTTAACATACACACACAATTTTGTGAGACTTGGTCATTTGGACTCAGGAGACTTCAAACCGTGTATTTCCGTTGAAAACTGAGACTCAAAAATTTTCATGAATGCAATACTTCCCTTTATTATATATTTCAAATATAGGTAAGTAAATATAAAAATTACAAACCTTTTTAAATATGACCCTCAGAATTAAAGTAGATGCTCCTTGGTTTATAAGAAACAGTCAACTCCATCATGAACTTCAAATAGAAACAATAGATGAATTCATAAAAAAACATTTTACCAAACATCATTCCCAGTGTTCAAATAGAAACAATAGATGAATTCATAAAAAAACATTTTACCAAACATCATTCCCAGTTTCCACGAGTTAAAGATGCAGCAGCTTTCAACATAGGAACTCCAATATCATCATGTAGACTGAAACCGAGACTGTTGCAAGACCGTCTATTATATATATATATATATATATATATATATATATATATATATATATATATATATATATATAAAAATTTTATTTTTATAATATACATATTTTATTCATTACTTTATTAATTATTTTTCATATTTTACTTTATTTTTATTTATTTATTTTTAAAAACTTTATTACAATTATTTATTATATATTTTTCTTATTGTATTATTATTCATGTATTCTATAAACTTTACAAGTTCATAGTTATAGGTATAGGTATCATTTATCGTTAGGGGTGTCTTGTATCAGACTATACCCCCACTTAACCAAATGTTTAAAATTTTCTTAATGTTAATATACTCATATACGGCTCACTAAGTCGATCGATGATCGATGATGAGAAGTGAATATTTTAAAAAATCTAGCAAACATAAGCTGCACAACCAGAGGTTCACAAAGATTGGTTTGGGAAAAAAAGTGATGCTTTGTGTTCGGTGGAACATCAAAGGCGTTTTGCATTTTGAGCTTGTTCCTAATGGTGAAGCAATCGACTCAAACCATTACTGTGAACTACTAGACAGATTTTTTAGTTCAAAGTATCCCGCTTTAGCCAACAGTAAACAAACCATTTCGCAACACGACAATGCCTCTGCACATCGTTCTCGTTTGATCAAGGAAATATTATTAAACATGACTCATCCTGCATATAGCCTAGAGATATTGCAGCATCAGATTATGGTTTATTTAGATCAATAGCTAATTTTTTTTAAAAGGTCGCAAGTTTGATAATTACGAGGACGTAAAAATTGGATGCTAAGAATTCCTTTCCTCAAACCAAAGGAGTGGTAACGGCATCAAATCCAATCTCTGACAGAAAGATGGGCGAAAGTAATAGAAAACAAAGCTATACAAGGCCTTTAGTAATGACCTGGTATATGTAATAGAGGAAATATGATTCAAACATTCAATTTTATGCAATTAAACTCGAGATTTAATGCTAATACTGTGAAATATGCAATTTCATGTAACCAAAAATTAAAAGTGTGCAATTTAGCCAAAAATGTGCAATATTAAATTTCAATATGTTATGTTATTCTATAGATAATGAAACTGATAAGATTTTTACTTGCAAGTGATTAAAATATACAATAATATGGAAATATAGTCTTATTTGTGATAAATTCAGTTCTTTCAAAATAAACCAACACCAAGTTTTCATCTTCATGAAAATTTATTTAATATAATCATAATGTTTCATAAGGGGCTAATGCCATTAACATACAATGAACATAGAAACCAAAATACTGCAGTTATTATATAACTTTGAATTGTTTTTATATTATACCAACGCAATGAAAGCAGTATCAGTCATAAAATCCTACAACTATAACATCATAGTTACAAATAAAAAATAAAATAGAATAACAAAATGCTAAAAATGCTGAAACAATAAAATTTAAAAACAGCCATGAGACAACCAATATATTAAGGTAAAGTCGTTACTATTGAAATATCATAAAAAAACAAACTATGGATCAGTTTCAACTGATTCTTCTTCATCTCCATCTGACATTTTGATCAATTTGTCTTCATCTACTGTTTCTAGGAAGTCCTTAACATTACTGAAGCCCCTACTTTGTGCTTCTGGCACTAATATTCCAGTTGGTAATTTGCCTAACCTCCTTCTACAGATTGAACAATTGCAGATATTTCGACATGGTGGGCAACTCCAATTCTAAAATTCAATACATGTAACATAATTAGTATCATAAACTATGTGTTTGTACTTGTGTGCAAACATAAACATGATTACGATTATTTAAAATTTTATTAAAGAAAAGTAAGTAGTGATCTGGGTTAGTCAAAAATATATAAAATAATGGAAATTATTAATCATTTATTTATTTATTTATACCTCCCTTCCTTGCCTTTCGGCTACACGGGATTTTGCAGGGATGGCATATCACACACGTGCATGCCATTCCTGCTATTAAACCACAAATTAATTTTCAATTTTGTTTTGTCTTCTTTTTTTTTCCTTATTTTCAATATATTACCCTGGTGGCCTTCTATTAGCAGGTTCTCTTCCTAGATTAAAGTGGGAGGGTCCCAGAGCAGCTTTCCACCCGTACACAAAATCTTTGTAATACGGGTAGTTCTGCTCCGTTACTAACTCAGGAAATTCATCTTCCGTGAGGCCATAGATTCCCATTTTTCTTATCATCTTATCATTCGGAAATTATTAATCAAATGTTGATGTTTTAACCCACACTGCAAATCTTCATCAGAGGTACAATAGACACAAGATTTAGGAAATCCTTGAAGGCTCCTTCCAGAGTTATACTAAAACCATTTTAGAATGCATTCAGACTGCTTCCAGGTGTTAAACTATCTTTTTATGTATCATGCCAATTATTTTTTAAGAGGGTTTTATTTTTTAAAATGTCAGTATACTATCTTGGCATGCTTCCAGAGATATGTTACTGAATAACATTGCTTTAACATTGTTGATTTAAGTTATTAGTAGGCAAATAATAAAATAAAATATTAAACGATCATTTGGTTTCTATATTGATACTACGAGCATAATTTTTAGTTAATTGGTTTATTTGTATGATTTAAAGAACCATGTATTTCTTCTTCAGTTGCTGAGTGAATAAGCATATATGCTTGGTCCATCTCAACATTTAACATGAAATCGTTAAAAGGTGGAAAAAAGTGTAGGAATAACAATTGGATTATGATTTCCTGTCAGGTAATGATCCATTGAAGCTGACAAACCATTCATTATTAATACTTGTTCTAGTTGGTAAGAAAGCAATTTGTACATTGGAGGGAATCAAATCAACCTTGTTAGGTATACGGACAAGAATGTCTCTCATGTGAAAAAATAAATTATGACATTTATCATTATTTGATAATTATAAGATTAAAAAATTAATAATTACAGGATCTTTAAGTGTAGTAGCAACATCTTCTCCATAGCGATTGTGTAAACAAAAGCCGCAAAATTGTCCTCTTATACCAACGCAATCCTTGTTACGACATATTGATTTGACATCTACTGTTTTCTGCCTATACATAAAAAAGAAATTACAAATATATTAATAGCGATACAGTTGAACTGGAGATAACTCCATCTTGAAGGTAAAACATAAATTTTAGAATTCTCTAAGAATTTGAATGAAACATAATAAAAAAATATAGAAAAAATAAATAGTAAAACATTTTTAAAGGGAAAACCAAAGAAGTTAATATTGAAGTCTTCATTTCCACCACCAATTCTTACATATATTTTTCCATGCACTTTCTAACGAATATTTATAATAATAATAATAAGGCTTAGCGAACCTGAAGGTTCGATGCCGATACCATCAATCGATGTCAACATTCTTCCATCCACCAGCCGACACATCTCGAAGCAACAGAATGTATCGGACAAATCAATCCATTCAACACATAATTGGAGGTTGCGGAGCTCTTGCAGGTACATAATACCTAAAAAGACATGATGATGTTGCCTAAGTCTATTACCAGGCGACTCACAACAGACCTGGTATTGTGTTAATTGACGGTAATATTAAGGTAGCTGAGATTATAGACATCGCTGTGCCGAACGACAGAAACATTAACTTAGTCTGTGCAGAATAAATTCGGAAGTATCAAGGTCAAGCAGCTGAGTTTAAATAGTTTGTATAAACTTAATAAAGGAAGGGGCATTATGACCTCCAGCAATGGCCTGATACCAGTGACTACTGTGGAAGCTACTGACAGGCTGGGCCTCCCAATTCATGTAATAAATAAAGCTCAGAAAGCTGTGCTGTTGAATACTACCAGAATTGTAAGATTTCTCAACATCCAATAGAAATTAAAACAGAACATACCTCAGGTGGTTGGAGGTGATTCTCTTGGACTCTTTTTTATATGAAGTTTTTGTCGAAGATTCACGATTACTAATTCGAAGCAGATATCCTATCGCTAAAGAATTGTAAGTCCCTCAAAACGGATATAAATCTATTTCTAATAAGAAAACCGGTACCTAAACAATGATTTCCACTTCCTCCTTACCAAAAAGTATACTTACCTTCTCTTATGGATCCCTTCTCTGGCCAACGAACCTCTTGTAATGCTACAATATCTAAATTGTACCCATTAACCTCATTTGCGACCGATTTAAACATACCTGCTGTATTCAAACTCCAGACTTTCCACATCACTATACTTAAATTTCTTTAACTTCAAATGTATTCAACTTGTGCTATGAATCCCATAAAACAGTCCCCACGCGGAGACCCAAACGGGGGACTAGTTTGCATCTGGATAGTGAGAGTTTTACCTAATGAGGATCCCTGACTGGTATATTGTGAACTATAAATATGTGAGCAGGGCATTCAATCCTATGTCACACTCCTCGTCAAGTCTGGAGGGCAATGTTTGATCTACTCTTAACAATATTTCCACTATTATGATATTTAAATATTCATTACTCAGTACTGAATGAGTCAGTCCCTCCAGGAATGACGTAGGTGAAACCCCTATAGACCATGACAATTTAATGTTCACTGAACATATTATTTGCGACATTAATGATGAATATATAACGGAGGACTCATCAAGACTTGAAAATGACCCTTAGCATGGTTGAAACGTTGAATTAAATAGCGTATCAATAAAATGTTTGGTGATAATTATATAAGATATAAAAATAAAAGATAATTTTAAAATTTCAAATTTTGTTTTATTTAGAATCAATTAAAACAATTGTCAACATACCTGCATTGGTGACAGGTAGAACCATTTTTAGAATCATATACTTTTCCAGCAGATCTATAACAGATCTTTTCTAGATCATCATCATTCACCGCCTCCGGAGGTATTATTTCCCGCTTAAGTGAAACTCTTGGTGTTACACTTTTTCTGATCTTCTTTAACTTTGTCTTTAAGGTCTGAAAAACACAAAAAAAATACAAAGGACATTAATAACTTTTAAAGATAATACATACATAAATGTATAAAGAAAAACACAGTTTTATGATAAGCAAATTGCCTTGAGAATAAAAAAGATTACAAAAATAAAAATTATTTCTATGCAAAATATCTATTACAGTAAATAAAAACAAAAACTTTAATATTTACATAGTTATAAAAAATGAAAAAGGGTTTTAAATGTGCATGAAGAGCATGCCAGATATTAAGAGGTAGAGAATTCCAGAAAGTGATTGAATTACGATAAAGGAGTGCTAAAATCAGGCAGATCTGCTGCTACTGAGACTTGCCTAACTCAGGTAGCTTTTGTATTATTTATGTATAATAAAATAAATTGTATACGTATTGTAAATTTATATACGATTCTTACTCAATAAAAAAATGTGAAACCTTAATAATAAAAGGCTCAACGAGAAGACAAAAAGATTCGTGACTGGGAGTGAGCTAACAAGTTAAAAGTTAAATGCGGAGAAGACGAAGGCAATCTTAAAAGGCTCCAATCACCTCCTTAAAACTATTCCTAATACTCCAACTCTGTTCCTACACGATAATCCCATCAAATTTTATCCCACCATCAAAAACCTTGGAATATGCTTTGATCAAATGCTTTTCTGGAAAAACCATGTATCCAAAATTTCCCGCCATATCTTTTCCACCTTATAACCTCTAAATTATCTCTCACCTATTTCCAGTTGAACCCCGTAGGCTCCTAGTCACTTCCTTAATATTTCTCCACTTTGTCTATTGCTGTACGGTATGTGGGGGTCTCTGGGGATCTTGAGGCAAAAATAAAACATGTGATAAATTGCTTTGATTCATCTTCAGGATCCCAAAGGACACCTCTTTTCCTCGTTTTTATGAAGCGTTGAAGTGGCTTTATCCTTCCTACCGTCCTATGTATTCCTAGCATCCTTCCCCTTCTAAGTCATCAAATCTCACCACCCTTCATACATTTCCGAGCTCCTTGAATTAAAATCCTATGTTCATTCCTGCAATACCTGTTCCTGATCTTCAGATTTATTTACAACCTCCCACCAAACCACTGCTTTTGACAGATTGATCATTATCTGATCCACATCCCTACGGAACTCCATCCCTTCCTACATCTATCGCTCCATTACCCTTCCTACCTTAAATTCTGCTCGTTCAATCATTTCTTATCCATCCAGTCACCATAAAATTGTAAATAGATATTACTGTATATATTTATATATAAATTATTAGATTGTTCTTAATTATTTTTACTGTGTGCTTTTTCAATTTTATTTTATTATCTTCTTCTTCTTCATCTTTGTGCCTTTTAGCGTGGAGGTGCATCAGTCCATGCCACGGCATCCCGGTCTCTGGCCAGCGCCTTCATGGCATTTAGCCCACGTCCTCTTTGCTGTCCCAGCTTAGTGAAGTGGTCTGTCCACATTAACCTAGGTCTGCCCCGGGGACGTCTTTCAGTTGGCCTAGCTTTGAAGTACTTCCTTGGATCCCGATCTTCCTCCATTTGGCAAAGGTGGCCAAACCATTTCAGCTGCCTCTTTTCAACCACTTCTTTTACAGTTGAAACTCCCAGCTCCTGTTGTATTCGCTGATTTCTAACCAGATCTCTTCTAGTACGACCAGCCATTCTCCTCAGGTATCTAATTTTTGCATACTCAGCTCCAGTGTTTGTCCAGTTGGACCCAGCTTTCGCTTCCAAGAGTAGAGTAGGCAGTAAAATTAATTAAAGTAAAAACATTTAAGTTTCTAACTTTAATTCATTGATAATAAAAAAAATTGAAAAAAACACACAGTAAAAATAATTAACGTTCTAATAATTTATATATACAGTAATATCTATTTACAATTTTATGGTGACTGGATGGATAAGAAATGATTGAACATGCAGGATTTAAGGTAGGAAGGGTAATGGAGCGATAGATGTAGGAAGGGATGGAGTTCCATATGGATGTGGATCGGATAATGATCAATCTGTCAAAAGCAGTGGTTCGGTGGGACATTGTATATAAATCTGAAGACCAAGAACAGGTATTGCAGGAATGAACAGAGGATTTGAACTGAAGGAGCTCGGAGATGTATGAAGAGCGGTGAGATTCGATGGAAGGAATGGACGGAAGGAAGGATAAAGCCTCTTCAATGCTTCATAAAAACGAGGAAAAGAGGCGTCCTTTGGGATCCTAAAGATGAATCAAAGCAATTTATCAAATTTTTTAGTTTCGCCTCGAGATCTCCAGAGACAACCCCACATATCGCACAGCAACAAAGTGGAGAAATATTAAGGAAGTGACTAGGAGCCTATAGATTTCAAATGGAAATGGGTGATAGAGATAATTTAGACGTTATAAGGTGGAAAAGGTACGGTGGGAGATTTTGGATAAATGGTTTTTCCAGGAAAGCATTAGATCAAAGGATATTCCAAGGGTTTTGATGGTGGGATAAAATTTGATGAGATTATCATGTAGGAACAGAGTTGGAGTATTAGGAATAGTTTTAAGGAGGTGATTGGAGCCTTTTAAGATTACCTTCATCTTCTCCGCATTTAACTTCTAACTTGTTAGCTCACTCCCAGTCATGAATCTTTTTGTCTTCTCGTTGAGCCTTTTATTATTAAGGTTTCACATTTTTTTATTGAGTAGGAATCGTATATAAATATACAATATGTATACAATTTATTTGTATTATACATAAATAATACAAAAGCTACCTGAGTTAGACAAGTGTACAAGCAATGTTGTAAAGTACACTTTCAGTTAGTCAATTTTGTTGGGAAAAAAAAAATAATACTTTAACATTACCAATATATGTTAATATCCTGAAATACATAATTTCAGTTACAAGCAAATTTTTTTTTTGTGATAGGATGTTAACACGAACACAATCTATTTTGCAAGGTTTGTTTATTTTGATTTCAAGGACCTCAAAACGTCTATTTCTGTTGACAACACAAATTAAAAATTTTTCCCCATAGCAATAGTTCCTCCCTCCTATTTATTTCTAGTACAGAATAATGAAAGTAAAAATATATGGTTAGGCAAGCAGAAGCAAAATAAAACTAAGCCAAGGAATAACATACCTCTCTTTCAGTATCGGAGTCTTCATCACTTTCTAGAAATGAATGAGAAGGTCTATAACAGAAATACAATATAAAATTAATTGATACACTGTATAACCCTGAACATAACAAAAACTTTACACTTCTAGAACTAGAATACCAATTACTTCTTTAAAAAATGTTTAATAAAATTCATGCTCCGCCCAAGATATTTTCTCTAGGTCGCATAATATAAGCATCTTTATCACATTACACAACTATAGACCAAAACCAAATACATGCAAGACCTCAAGGAGCTGTAAATAATCCTCGGTACTTATTTAATAGCGGGTAGCGACCGACTGCTATCTGCCAATGTTTATAACCTTAACACTGATAAGCTCTTCGTATTCATATTTATTGTATCTTTGTATTCATACTTATTGTATTGTATTGATATAATTGAAATTGTGAACAAAAACAAAAACAAATGTAATAATAAAAAAATACTTTTATTGTACAACATATATATTAAAATATAGCAAAACATTATAAATATATAATTAAAAAACATTACAAAAACATTGCAACATATATATCAAAATAAATGAAGTAATAAAAATAGGCAAAAAATAGATGAAATAATAAAAAACCACTTAAACAGCATATGTAAATATAAAACAAACACTATGAAGAAACGATATAAACAAAATATGAACAATTTTATTTTAACTTGATTTATTTTGGTAGGGAAAATAGCAAGGAAGGGATCCGTCATTGGTACTTCTCTTAAAAATTTGTTCTATGTTACGATAGTTGCGTTGGATAGTTTGAGCTGCTCTTTCCCCCACTGAATTGTTGTTAGATTATGGGACCACCCATAAATGAATTTTAAAGCCGTTAAAAAAGAAATCCTCGACCCCTCAAACCACTCTCCTTTCCTTATAGAAACGGTTTTGTTACAACTACGAAAGCATCTCCATTTAACTCCTTTCCGTCGAACTTCATTTGATGATCTTCATCACAATATTTGACCTTTCCAAATATCCCGGCGTCTTGAAAATATTTTATAGCCTCTTCTGAATATGGCAATTCCCACAATGTGACAACATCCATAATTAAATAACACTAACTCACAGCTAACACAAGAAACAAAAAGTAAACAAGGGAATAACTTAGGATAGATGAGATAAGGCAGGTTATGTGAAATGATATTAGATAAGAAGGGAGGTTTTGACGCTACCTGCTATTAAATAAGCACCTAATCCTCTTCAGGTTAGGAATAGTACTTTTGGAGAGTAAGTTATTTTTCAAGTTATGAGTTCGAAAGTGAATTTCAAAAATAGCATAAAGAAATAGAAATAAAAAGGAGATCTTGACTGACTAAAAATACTATTGTGATATTTTTAAACATACAGAAAAGCGAAGCTATTAAAAAGAATCCAAACTGCATCTACAGCACATTTATTGGATTCCCTGATTTTCACTCTTTCTTATTCAATAACTTCCATAATAATAAAAACGGAGACATATTATAAACATTAATTTTCTCTACACTGTTTTATTTTAAGTCAATATTATTATATCATCATGAGATTGTGACTCATACAAGACGACATTATCATGCAATAATAATTGCTCCTTCATTCATATTATTAGTATCTGACATGCTGAATAAAATTAAAGAGCAATTATTATCCTATCAGAACATCTAGCATTGGTCACAATTATAGACGTAACAGTAAGTATAATCATTGTATAATGATTTAATGTTCATATAATGCTCCTTTTATGAAGTTAAGAGAGATATTAAATCAGAAAAAGCAAAATACAAGGGTTTCAATGATTTTGGTAAGTAGATTGGGAGACTCAGAAGAGTGGGGAAATAGATACACATTTTCCCCTCCATTTTACACTCCCTCAAATAAACTGTACGCCCGTACTTCAGCAATGTTGTCAATATGAGCCACTACAAGTTCCAATAACGCTATTTTTATATTTAAACTAATAATAATAATAATAAAAAAAAAAGAAGCAAATTATTACCATCTGTGGTATAAAACGTATATAAGTATAAAACGGGAATTATTGCATAGTAAATGCAAGTTATGCATACTAAAAGGCTAAGCGAACCCTAAAAGGTTTGATGCTGACACAACCAATTATACACTTGCTACACACATCCCTCCACCGTTTGCTGCCCAAACCTAGTCCCTTCTCATCGGCTTTAACACAATCTTCCCATCTTCGCTTCATTCTACCCATCGGATGTTTACCATTCGGTACAGCAAATATTAACCTTTTAGGAATTCTTTCGTTACCAAGCCCAACAATTTTACAAGCCCATTTGATTTACCGCGATGTAATCACCTCAATTATATCAACCGGATACAGTTAACGAAATTGGGGATTGTGTAACCATCTGAACTCTTTGGTTAACTCCACCTTCTTCGATTCAAATATTTTATTTTCTTCACAATTTTAGTATCTACACAATACTTTATTTTCAAAAACCTTAAGATGTTGCTCATCCCATGATGTAAGCGGCCACGTATCACATCTATAAAGTACTGTAGGTAAGATAGCGGTTTTATAGATCATAGTTTTTAAGTTCCGGGACAAGAAACACGAGCTAAGTAGTTTCGTCTCAGAAAAATAACAAGCATTCCATCCTTAATCTCCTCTTCAATTTTGTTATTTATAGTTATCGTAGACCCTAGATACCTAAACTTCTTCATGCGTTCAAACACATTTCCTTCTATAACGATATCAGTGGCTATATCACCATCTTTGCAGCTAACCGTATGTTTTGTCTTATCCCTGTTTATTTCTAGCCCTAGTTCTTAACCGGGTTTCATTAACGTTGTCGTATTTAGACTGATAGTTTCCGTGTCTTTGCTTAACAGGACCAAATCATTCGCATAGCCAAGCAAGGGTGATGTACCACTAGTTAGATCCAACTCTTTTTCGGTACACATTACCTCCCTAATGGCATGTTCTAATGCCATATTGAACAGGACAGGGGAAAGGGAATCATCTTATTTTAAACCCGAACAAACCTCAAACTTTTCGAAAAAAGTATTTCCGATTCTAACTTTATTGAGTTGTTCCGTCAAGTACATCCTGACTTGATTTACTATTTCTTTTTAAATCCCCGCTCGATTAGAACATTTCTGGCGGTCAAAAAAATCGTAAGCCTTTTTGAAATCGATATACAGCTGGTGAGCAACACCGTTATACTCTAATTTTTCCTCCAATATTTGCTGTAAAGAAAATATTTGATCAATAGTCGAACGGTTCCGTCTAAATCCGCATTGGTAGTCTATGATGATTTCCTCAGCGTATTCCATGATTAGACTAGTTAAGATTAAAGTGAATATTTTATAACTTACAGGAAGGAATGAAATTCCTCGATAGTTATTACAATCCGTCCTCGGACCCTTTTTGTGAATTGGAATAAGAATAGATTCTTTCCATTCTTCAAATAATTTCTCATTCTCCCAGATCTTTTTAACAAAAAAAGGTTTTTTTCCAGCTTCCCTGCATATCTCAATTAGTTCACTAGGAATATTATTGGTTCCCGTTGCTTTATAAAATTTTAATTTTCCAATATCTCCTTCAACTTCCTCTTTACTTGGTCCTTCTATCAACGGTCCAGCACTCAGGTACTCAGAAGGAAGACACAGATCATAATTCCCCGTATTTAAAATATTGTCAAAGCGGTTCTTAAATTTATTTAATATGTCTACCGGATTGGTCAGGATATTGTTATTTTCATCCCTAATTCCAGACGTAATGGACCCTAAACATTTACGTGATCTGTTTATATCTTTGTAAATGTCTCTTACGTTATTTTCGATTCTATTTCTATTACTTTATTTTTAAGATACTCAATTTTTTATTTTTTGAGAAATTTTGTCATTTCATTCTTTAAGGTTTGGAAGTATTCGAGATTGTCTTCAGTAGGATTATTTAGAGCTTTTCTTTAATCACACATGTTTTTTTTTTTTGTCCTCCCCTTCCTCGCCGTTAAGGCTATACAGGGTTTTCCTGGGCCAGGGAGTGTGGGCGAGGATTTAAAAGACTCCCTCGACACCGGGACGAGAACTCGTGAATATTTTTATATCATTTGATTGATATACCAGGTTGCCGGGCAACAGCGGTGCTGTGCACACGCATTAGCCCATTCGGCCACCCTGCCCACTTATCACACATGTTTAAAAAATCTTCATCAAACCATGGTTTGTTCTTTTAACTTTCATTTTTCCCAAGACACGAGTTTAATATTATCCCTGATCCACTTCAATATTATCCCTGGTCCCTACCCATAACTTGTCTATATCATCGCAGTCCTCATCAGAAGGTTCTAAAGCTTCAAACCTATTCTTAACATCTAGCTCAAATGATGGATTTTTAATTTTTCCAAATTAAAATTCTCAATATCGAAAAGATTTTCTATTCTCTTTTTAATATTAAGTTATTGTCAAAATTTTATGATTACTAATTCATGATCCGACCCACATTCTGCTCTGTGATAAGAGCATACATTAATTATACTGTTTTGCCAGCTATGTTGTATGATTGATTTGCTTTCGTGTTTGCAGTATATTTATGAATATCCCAAAGTTCAAACGTAGTACTTTTATCAGGTTTTTCAAGATGGCAAAGTTTATCAGAAGAATCCCATTATCATTACTATATTCGTGGGAACTCTCTTTACCAATTGCCGGAAAATAAACTTCTTCCTTCGCACCTTTGTGTTTGCGTCACCTACAATTATTTTCATGGAGTTTCGTTGTAGTTTATCATAAACCCACTTGAGTTTAACGTAAAATTTGTATTTTACTTCATTGTGACTGTCTTCGGTCGGAAAATTTATGTTAACGCAATTTTAAACCAACGTCTCTGAAATATGGCTACCGAAATTCTATCACTAAAGAATTGTACATCCCTCAAAGCAGATAGCAATCTATTCCTAATTAGAAACCAGTACCTAAACAATGATTCCTGCTTCCTCCGTACCAAATAGTGTACTTTCCGTTCATTATTGAGCCCTCCCCTGGCCAGCGAACCTCTTGCAGAGCCACGATATCCAAATTGTACCCATAAACCTCATTCGTGACCGATTTTAACCCACCTGCTGAATTCAAACTCCAGACGTTCCTTTTCACCTAAATTCCTGTTTTTCAACTTCTGCCATGAATCCCCTAAAGCAGTCCCCACCTGGAGACCTGAACAGGGGACTAGTTTACCTCCGGATAATGAGCGTTTTAGCTTAGGGAGATCTATGACTATTTGCGTTGTATGATGAACTAAAGATATGTGAGTAGGGCGTTCAATCCTACCTCACACCCTCCAGCAAGTCTGGAGGGCCCCTCTCATTGTTGGCCAGCGAGTCCATCAGACTTAGCCGGGAGAAACTTCCAAGGAATTTCCACAGACCATCCCCACATCCGCCACCCGTGGGATGCTCTTCATACGGTAATGAGCCCACGCAAGTCAGTTTATTGCATAAATATATTATAAAATATTTTATTCGAAATATTGTCCACCACTAGTTATACATTTTTCCCATATCTCAGGCAATTTATGAATGCCATGCCAGTCAAATGATTGCTCTTTTCCAGAAAACCAGTCTGCAAACCATTTTCATAAGAAGTGAAGCTCTGATAAGCAAGGTGTATGCCCCATCGATGCTAATAAATAGTGATCGGAGTGAGCAAAGTCTGGTGAGTAAGCCGCATGCTCTAGTATTTCCCATTTTTCATATATACTACATACCATAAATAACAGTATTTCATAATAATACACCAGATATATCTATGTATAAAAAATTAAAAATTATTAAGATTAATTTTATAGATATTTTTTTAAGGCTTTAGTATATTTATTATGAAACACTTTATAGTTTACCTATATTACCATAAATGATAGATACATGGGCATTTAAAATCTGTAATTTGCATAATTTTAGAAAAAATTACAGATGGTAATAGTGTTTTGAGGATTATCCAGAAGGAAAACATGTGACTTTGACGCCAAATCAAAAGAATCATCCAAGTAGTCTCGAGGAAAAGCTGTAAAATTCAAACATGGATAATTTTATATAAATCAATTTTCAGATTCTACTTATCTTGAAACAAAAAGCATCAAATTTTGAAGGGGAGCCAAAATGTTTTATGAATACGGCAATTATAACTTTGAAATAAAAGTATGAACATCAAAGTTGCCATTACACTATGATTACTTTACCTGTTACCCTGTAATCTTGCTGAACGTCTTTGAGGCGACAACACAACATTTCTATGGTAACTTCTTTTTCGTTTCTGAGGCTCATCGATTATATCAGTAGGCTGAAACTCAGCAGCTACAGATGATACTGTAGTTTGGCCCGGATACTCTCCAAATTGCTTTTTAAACTGAAAATTAATATTCTTAAATAAATAAAAAGTTTAAAAAATAAGTAGGATAATATTTAGACCATGTCAGATAACCAATAGTTTTAGAAGAAAAAAAAGACCATATATCCATAACCACCAGCTATAGGATTTATTTTATTTAGCTATAAGCAGGACCACTCATATTAGGCGTCTGAGACGAGATTTTAACAGACACTTCCCCTCCTCACTCCCTTCTAAATCGGCCTGTAGCCCGTATAAATCTTTGAGTTATATTTATGTATATGTATAAGTATACGTATACACACACACAATAGGTGTCAAAGTTCATAATAGCTAAACTGTGGGGGGTTGATTCTAGACAAAATTTTCAACAAAAAAGTTCATTTGATGCATGGTCCTATTCTGAAAGGAAAAGGAGATAAGAACAATTTTGTGTTTTTCTTAAGGTGGTCATGGATAAGAAGGAAGAAGAAGAAATTTCTTAAAAACTCTTTAAGACAATTAAATTTTATGTACACCATGATAAAGTAGACAAAATAGTTTTGAGAAAATATTGATCAAATTTACAAAGGTCGATGACAAAACAGACTTTCAGAACGTCTGTTACGATCACTGTATAGAGAAATGCTGCTCGTGTATGGATACTATAACTGCAGCAATACAGCGGCCATATTTAATCCTAAAATTTTCCTTTTATCATTGACCTTAGTAAATTTAAAGTCCCTTTTATCAATGACCTTGCTAAATTTAATCAGTGTTTTCTCAAAAAAATCTTGTCTACGATGATGTAGGTAGAATTTAATTATCTTAAACAGTTTTTGAGCAATTTCTTCTTATTCAATAAAAACTGAGAATACCTTAAGAAAAAGATACAAAACATAAGAACCTGATATATTGAATTCATGAATCATTATGGTCTGATTGGCATGATCTTCTCATATATTTTTATTTTAAGGCATAACACATTGATGTTATACTAAATACAAGAAACTGTGTAACTACATATGCAGATGAAAAAATAATTACAAAGGTTTTTCTAGTCTACACATTGTCTAAAAATTCTTTATATAAATTTCAGTCTTATTGAATTAATTATGATATACCACTGACATTTGGTAAAAATACCATATTTGTTCTTCGAACCTTAATAAATTAAAATAGTCAAGTCCTAAAAAAGTGACCATTTGATAACATTAACATACTATATTTTCTGAGGAGTTGATCGGGGGCAGGTGCGATCAAATTAATTTGACCGCACCCCCCGATCAACTCCTTCTCATATTATATCAACGGTCAACCATCTCTACATCATACTATATTTTCAGTTCAAAAATTGGTTTTCCAATGAGCTGACACTTCTTATAAAACTTGAAAATTAAAATTCCAATATAATTTATGCGAATTAATAAAACACTTAATGTTCTGAAACAAAAGTTAAAGTAATTTCTAATTAACAATAGTTTATAGTTTAGTTAATCAATGACAACTATAATCTAATCAATATCATATTAAATAATGAAGAAAATTGGAAATTTTCTGCACTTAAAACCAAAGCATTGATAATAATTTACAACTGTATTAACTAAAGTAAGAGAAAATAAACAAGTAGTAAAATATTGCAACTAAAATTTATTAACTTAATAAAATATTGCATAAATAGTACCAATTCGCGGAATTCCTTAATGTTGGATTCCCTCATTTGTTCATAATCCGAAGACATTTTCCTAGGTCTATAAAAATACTTACCAAAATAAGAAACAGATTACCTTTCAAATTTAGTTTATCAACGGCCTAATTTAGGCGCGCTTGATGTAATGTAAATCGATGTGATATGACCAAAGAGGTACAAGCGAATTCAATAATAAGTATAACAAATTTGAAAACGTTATTTTCTACAGCCAAGGTTATAAAGCTACCAGGTTCGCTCACTCAGAAATGCGTGCTGCGGGGACTTGAACCGTGATGTAAGGACTAGACCGCCAAACCTACTTATTGCTCTTTCAACCTTATCATTGAACGTTTATTTCAATATTATTTTGCTATTTTTTTCTTGTCTAATGTATTGAAGAGAATACTTTTCAGTGTTCGACGTTTGATTGGAGATAATTTCAAGTAGGTAAATAAATAAATAAGATTGACAAACTAGAATAAAAGTTTATGAAAATTAGACTAGACCTGAAACGAAATTGATAGTAAGATTTTTTTTCCTCCTTCCTTTCATTCCTTTTCTCTATTTTAACTCTTTATTCTATTATACGTTGTCAGTACATTTTGATAGACTTTACAATATCTCAATCTTCTATCTAAATATTCTATTTACAATATCTTAATTTTACTATTTATTTTTATTTCGTATATAACTTCATATTCATTTTTTTCTTTTTTACTTTTTATTCTAAGATTACCATTTTAGTACTTATGTCACCTTATTTTGATTATGTTTACTTCATTATTTCACACTTTGTAACGGTTATCATTATTTATTTCTTAGTTCTTGTTATTGTCATTATTCAACCCACTTCTTTTACTTCAAGTTTTTTTACCTACATTGTTTATGTTTCTCATACCTTGTTAACTGGGTCTTTTCTTAGCCTTGATGAAGGCCTGAACTTCAGGTCCAAACTTCGAAAAATGTTAAAATAAATATTATTATTTATTTTTGCCTCTTTTATTTCTGACTGATCACCCCCAACCATTCTTCTCTTCATTATTCACGACAGTCAACCATCAACCCACAATTATGATAGTAAGATTATTTTTTATATTATATAATCGCTTACTGTAAATAATATACAAATATATTACATAAATAGAAAAAAACGAAGATTCATATTTATTTAGGGAAACAAAACCATTTTGTACCACAATTTTCGTTTAATTATGTTTGTAGATCTCGTGCGAATTTATTTAAATAATATAACAATATTATAATGACGTTATAAGGATGGAAAAAATTGACAGGATTTTCAGATTTTATTTAAAATTTCTTCAAATAAAAAATTCAATTAAAAATATTTTTTTATAATTTAAAAAATTAACAAATTTTGACTGCACATCCTAATAACTTTTTCATCCTTATAATTTTAACAGTAAATTACTTACCCATTTCTATAATAAATTATAACGAGTATTTCTTTCTTTTTTTTTTAATAACGTGTTACAGAGAATTAATTTGTCGATATTAATATTTCTTGAATTGACCATAATAGTATGACCATAAATGGAGTCAACCCCACCTTACACTGTCAATATTATTGATTCTGTAAGGTGATACAAATATATTGACCACCTGAGGGATATATTGTAACAATTATATTGAAATTTGTATTATGTATACAACGTTCAAGAATATTGCTTCAATATTATTGAAACAATATAATTGAAGTCAATATATTGAAGTGGTACCTCGCATGGGTCAATTATATTCAATCAATACTATATCAGATAAGATTTTGCTTCCACTAAAGGAGGTTTTAATCTAAAAGGTAATCTTTCTTTTTTGTGGAAATGAATAATAATGAATTTCCTATTTCTTTAATTTCCTTGGCTTTAGCATTAAAAAAATACATATATATGTTCTTTGTTATGTTTATTTTGTTCCTAGAAATTAAACGTTTCTTGTTTCAAACGGGTTCTATTCTTGTTTCCTGATTTTTTAATAATAAAAATAAAGTTTACTAATAAAAAAACAGTTATTAAATTTTGTATTTGTATCGGTTGTCACCTACCTTGGTATACAAATTGATCGCAAGTTCAACGTGACTCCTCACTAGGACTACATGTGAACTAGGGTTACACTGGCCCTAAATGTGCTCAGTCGTGTCAGGGACGTCTTGTGGGGTCTCAGATACCTAGCTATAATGACTATCTACAAAGGGTTAGTTTTGGGTATCCTGAGATATGCGTTCCCAACCTGGAACCTAAACCTCGTGAGATGCGAAGGCTTGTGCTATTGACTCCGAACTGAATCTCGCAGGTGAAATACAGTAGGCGTTATAAAAAAGTGTGATTTTTTATGTAAGTCACGTATTTTGTTGAATAGGAAGTGATAACAAAAAACTATTTAATTTAAGTAATTAAAGATTGTTTCACTGTAAACTAGACAAAATTTACTTTAAATATAAATAGAGTTTGCATTTGTTAAAACGATGTAAAGAGGACCTTTGAGCGGCTAAACTTTGCTAAAGAGTGGGGGAAGGGAGATTGGTAGTGGTGAGCGAACGGGTTGGGATGGGAGAAACACCTGGTACAGAGGTGCGCCCTCTCCTGAGAAAATTCCTGGATCCGCCACTGCAACTATACAGGTTACTGACTAGAAAACTTCAATTTTCAATTGTCAACAAATTACTAATCTACAAGACAATCCTAAAACATATTAGGAACTACGGACTAGAACTTTGGGGAACAGCAAATTTTTCCAACATCAAATGCATCCAATCCTTTCAGTCCAAATTCCCTTGAACAATAGTCGATGCTCTGTTCTATGTAATCAACAAAATCCTACACCAAAAATTAGCTTTTTAAAGAAAAGAGAAATATAGGGAAAATTCATCCTCATAGACGATGATTTTCATAATGTAATATTAAAAAATAATTATTATCGTGCCCAGCACTAGCGAATTCGGCCAGAGAGTGCGCTCTCCCTTGGATGGTGGAAAACAAAAATGACAAATGGTCCGAAAAAAGTGACAAAATCACCTATTTAATGAAAAGAGAAATATAGGGAAAATTCATCCTTATAGACGAATTGCCTAATGTAATATAAATAAAAAATTATTATTGTGACCAGTACTAACGAATTCTCCCAGGAAGCGCGCTCCCCCCCTTGGATGATGAAAAAAACAGTCCCAAAAACTCCTATTTAAAGAAAAGATAAATATATGGAGAAATCATCCTTATAGACGAATTTCCTAATGTAATACAAATAAAAAATTATTGGAGTGCTACCAATGCGTAGTTTCTCTTCATGTTGTACATGTTAAGTTACTTGTTCATATTTACTTGTTGTATTTATTATTTAATACAGTTGTAAATTTCTTTAATAAAAAAAAAATTATTGTGACCAGAACAAGTGAATTTTGCCAGGGTTCGTGCCCAACTTATATAGCGAAAAAAAAGTTCCAAAAAACACATATTCAAAGAAAACCGAAATATAGGAAAAAATAATCCACTAAGACGAATTTTCTAATGTGATATAAAAAAAAATCATCGCGACCAGTACTAGCGGATACAGCCGGGGGGCGTGCCCAAAAGTTCCAAAAGGCAGTTATTTAAAGAAAAGAGATATATTGGCAAAATTCATCCTCATAGACGAACTTTTTAATGTAATTAAAAAAAGTTATTATTGTGACCAGCAATAGTGGTTGCTGCCGGGGGAGGGGGGGGGGGCGCCCCTCTGAATGGTGGAAAAATAATTCCGAGAAAAATTTCCAAAAACAGCCATTTAAAGATAAGAGAAATATAGGAAAAATCATCCTCCAAGACGAATTTTCTAATGTGATCATCATCATCCCGAGCTCGCCAACCATTACCGGATCTTGGTTGCTTCCAGAATTTTCATCCATGTTTCCCTGTCCTCAGCAGCCTCCACCAGTGCCTGATTTCAAGGATTCTGGCATCAACACTTACTCCATCTTTCCATCTCAGTTTCGGTTTGCCCAATTTTCTTTTTCCACCCGCTCCATGCTCAGCAGTTTCTTGAGGTCTCGTCCATCGGAACAAATTGGCCCTCCCATCTCAGCCTTGTTATACGGATATATTTCATCACATCCGGCTCCTTGTATAAGTTGGCTAGTTGTTGGTTGTGTCTAATTCTCCATTCATCATTCGCCTTAACTGTGGCAAATATCTTCCGAAGGACCTTCCTTTTGAAAACTAATATTTTAAGTAGCTATTTAATGAAAAGAGAAATATAGGGAAAATTTGTTCTCACAGACGAATTTCTAATGTAATGTACAAAAAAATTATTGTTGTGACCAGCACTAGCGAATTGTGCAAGGGGATGATCCTCCCTCTAGATGGTGGACAAAAATTCCGAAAAAGTTCTAAAAATCAGCTATTTAAAGAAAAGAAAATATATGGAGAATTCATCGTCATTATTATCAAGACCATTACTATTAATCTTACGGCTTGTCATATCAAGTCACCTCACCAGGTTGTAGATCAACTTGCGCCCGGCTTTGACGCACGGCGAGATTTTGTGAAACAAAGAATAGAATGTAAGAGCAAAAGTTGGTTCGTAGGGTGAAGTGATTTAGTTTTTGGGCCGCCGTGAGCTGCGAAGGCTTGTGCACCAGTCGCAATTTGTTCCTACTGACTCCGAACTGGCTCTCGCAGGTGAAATACATGATGGAGGAAAATTAATTTTAAAAAAATGATCTTCATTTATTCGAAAATATGGTTTTTCTCCCGCACCTAGATTTTATTCAGTTCCAATAGATCCGGACTCATTGCAACCTCCGGCAACTATAGTATCTTTGAAGAATCCATCCGATTCAGAAAACTAGTGACGATAATTATTTATATATTTCTCATTAGAACGTGTTGTTCTTTTCTTAAAATAGTTGCTGTTGGGAACATTTCATGAAGGAAGGTACAAATTATTTGGTCTCCGATTTGATTTGAAACAATGGTTCGATTTTCAGCAGGAAAGAAGTAAATTAAAGTTTTGTGATTTTTAAGTAAGTCAGGTTTTTTGTTGAATAGGAAGTGACAACTAAAAACTATTTAATTTATGTAATTCACGATTGCTTTACTGTAAACTAGACAAAATTTACTTTAAATAAAAATAGAGTTTACTTTTGTTAAAAGCATTAAAAGAGGACTTTTGAATTGCTAAACTCAGCCAAGGAATGGAGGGAGATGGGTAGTGGTGGGGGAACAGTTAGGGAGGGGGAAGGAACTGGTACAGAGGTGCCCCTCCCTGAGAAAATTCCTGGATACGCTACTGCGCCCACATAATAATGGAACCTTATATCAATGAAATAAAAATAATAATTATTTTTTTTATTTGATGTGATTTTAAAACTAAAAAATATAAATGTATTTATTATAATAATTTTTATTCATTATTATTATAATGAATAAAAATTATGAGACAATTGTATTCAGCCAATATTTTCCGTGAGTAAATTTTTTCATTCTGTTAATATTTCTGATTGAATAAGGAATAAAGTAAGATTATACAGGTTATTTTTCAATCACTAACTAATATATCTGATTATTTTTAGTGTTTGAAATTAAAATAAATATTCATTCATTAATATACACTGACAGGCAAAAAATTCCACCCACTTGATTTTTTCATGTTTTCATCTAAAAATATTTCTGCTTTGGATTGGTCTATTGTTTTTAATGAATAAATAGGTAATATTTTTGTTTGTTTTCATTTAGGAATGTTAATATAGAGGACATTAACCCTTAATCCTTAATTCAATGAAATGATTCTAGATTACAATGTTTACTTTCTATGGAATCAAAATGTTTATTCAGTATCATTAGTTCAGTGCCGTTTCTTGCAGCACATTTCTTAGTCTCCGGCTTTTAATTTTTTCAATATTAAGTTTAAAAATGCCTCTTAGTGCTGAGGATGTTGCGCGTGGTGTGGCACTAATTGATGATGGACGTTCCATTAGATATGCAGCTAATGCCATCGGAGTTCCATATGAAACTTTACGAGACGCCGTCAGGCGTTTTCGGGAAACTGGTTCTTACAATTGAAGGCCCGGTTTTGGACGGCCTAGGGTAACAGAACCACGGGATGACCGGTTTTTGACTTTGAGAATTTTAAGAAACCGGCACCTTACCGTTGTTCAAGCGATTCATCAGCTCGAAGAAGTTAGAGGTGTGCAAATTTCTGAACGTACCACTCGGAGAAGATTAAATGAGCATGGATTAATGGCTTTTCGTCCAGTAAGAGGACCAGAGTTGACCAGAACTCACAGAGTAACACGGATGGCTTTTGCTCGAGAACACAGTCATTGGACTATGGACGAATGGAGTGCTGTACTTTTTACAGATGAGTCAAGATTCGCTCTTCGATCTCCAGACGGGCGTGAAAGGGTGTGGAGAATAAGAAACGAAAGATATGCACCATGTAATTTTTCCCGGAACCAACCTTTCCAACGTGGTTTCTTAATGGTGTAGGCTGGGATTTCAATGGAGCGCCACACAGAATTGGTTGTTGTTCGTGGAGGGTCTTTGACGGCCATTCGCTATGTAGATGAGATTTTGGAAACTCATTATGTTGCCTATCCTCAACGAAATCGGCGATCATTCTTTTCTAATGCACGCCCACATGCCGCCCGCATAGTGCAGACGTTCCTTCAACAGAACAATATTGAGGTTTTAGCCTGGCCAGCACGTTCTCCAGATTTGAACCCCATTGAGCATTTATGGGATAACCTCGGAAGACGAATAAGAGCGCGTGCAACACTTCTTGATACACTGCAGGACCTTGAAAGGGCTCTTCGGGAGGAATGGGCTATCCTCCAGCAAAGGGACATTTCCCGACTGGTGGAAAGTATGCCGAGGCGTCTTCAAGAAGTAGTGAAGGCAAGAGGAGGAAACACGTGCTGCTAAACGATGATGTAATTAATTTCTTTTAGAATAATAATGGTTCGTTTTTCAATTTTTTTGTTTGTTTTTCAACTTATCTTTCTTACCCAATCAAATTTTGATTATTAAAGATAAACAAGATTATAAAATTCCATAAATACTAAGTATTATCTACAAATACCATGCATTAAATACAAATATTTTTAAATGAAAACATGAAAAAATCAAGTGGGTTGAATTTTTTGCCTGTCAGTGAATATTCGTTATTCGAATAAAATTTGTCAAACTGTGCAATGAGGTACACTGTATTAATCTTATTGTCCACTAGCGCCTTTCTACTTCTAAACGAATTTCTGATGAACTACTCGTTCAGTGTATTTTAAAAATATGCTTAAGTTTTCAAATTTAAAGTTATGTAACTCATTAAGTGGTATAACTCTTAATTATTAGCAGCGTGGTCAAGTTTGAACGATGGCTGAAATTCGTCCTCCTGTTGCTTATTTGACTAGAATAGAAAAAATTTCATCTTGTCATAGATTGCACAGGTTTGTAATATCAATTATATTTTTATGTATGTTATAGTTTTTGATATTTGACATGTTTTTAGATTTATTGCAATGACCTGTCTTGAAAATCAATGAGTTATATTACACTGTTTTCTCCCTCTCTGTCACTCTCCTTTCTTAAGTGTTTAACTATACAATAAATCATATAAATAACATCAAAGTGACATCATATGTAATTTAGACTAAGGATATTCTTTCCTTGGTGTCAATTAAATCCTTTCTGTCTTTTACCCTATTTAAAGGAGCTAGTTTTAAATTAAGTACTTAGTCTATTTCAGGACTATTTTTTAATTTATTATTTGGTGGTTCTTTATACAGCATTCAAATTAGTCAAATCTGTTATATAAATATTCCTATTATTTTGGCTTATTTTTATCATGCTAAGTTCTGTTAGTTTGTCAGAAAATGAATGCAAGTTAAATGTGTTAAAAGAAAAGAAATGATACAAAACTATTTTTATTAATCAAAATATTTATTAAAATTACTCTCGATACATTTCTACTAATGTGTTAGTAACTTTTCCATTCCCTTTGAATTGAATGTTGAACCGTTATTATTACCAAATGTTAATCAATACTACTTTTAACTTTTAAAAAGTGGCCCAGATTTCTAAAAAGATATGGTAGTTGGTTGTCGAGATGTCAGGGGAATCGGACAGGTAAAGTTTATTTGTTTTTCGTTAAAGAAGTGCAGCACAAACTTCATTATGGAAATTTTTTCGGCAGTCGTTTAGTGTTTGTGGAATCTAAATTTCAAGCTGTTTTATTTTTTTAACGGTGTTGAGCTGGCCAGTGATAGTCAATTTGCTAACTGAGATTTTCTCAATTAGTTGTTCTGGTGTTTTATTCTTCCAAAGCTCACAGAACATTGTCGTCAAGGGAAGAAGTCCTTCCACATCATCTTTGTCTTCAATGCTGAAGTATCCCTTCAAAAATTTGTAAACCATTGTTGAATGAATCATCGATGAACTCACTTAAACTGCCATTGCCTCAGACTTCATCAGTTTCTGGCCAAATGGGTCTAGTTCAGACCGAGTTGAAACTCTTAAAATGAAATTTGAAAATCATGCTTTATCATCTCGGTAATGACTGAATTATTTCAGATTAGTAAATCAGTACAGAAGATAAAAAAACATTTTTGTTTGAGCGAGGATTAATAAGTGTTTGCACCCATACAAAAAAATAATCCTGACAAAAGAATATAAAAAAACAAACAAGAAATCCTGCACTATTTTCTGAACTACTCAATATTTTGAAAATTAGTGTTTACAAATATATTAAATATTTTATTCCATTATAGTTATACCTACACTACAGCCTTATGACCTGGTATTAGATTCATATATTATATCTGATTCCTTCATATTTATCTTCAGTGTTAGTAGAGACCAAATTTTCCTGCAGTAAAAACACTCAGTAAAAAAACATAAAATGTGAATAATTTAAGATGTTACATAACTCTACAAGCATGTAAAAACCATAGTTTTTGTTTAATTTGTAATATTAATTAATAGAATACTTATTTAATCATGTGTCAGAATTAAATAAACTTTCCGTGTATTAATGTATTAAACTAAACAAAGATGATTTTTGAATACTCAAGGTTCTGTAGTATCCCAATTTTATATATTTTGAGTTTTTTAATACATAATTTTTAAGTTTTTACTACATGAAAATCGGGTCATTTTTAGTATTCCTATTTCTTAGTATTTATGAAAAAAAATGTTTTTACATTCTAGTTTTAATTTTTTAAAATTGAATTTATTAATATATTTGTATTGTTTAGGTAGCTTAACTGGTTTCTGTGAACCTCCAGGGATAATTATTACCATGGGTCTACTAAACAATTTCGACAATTCTATAGATTCCAAATTTTTACTTTCATTAAAATAGTTTTATTTAATTTCAATTACTTAAAATCTCACATATTCATGACTTTTTGTAGTTGTTGTTTCTTAACTAGTTATTAACATAACAACCTCTAATGCCTAGGTTTGGGATAGGATTTTGTAATAAAAAAATTACTAAGGGGAGTCTTCACTATCTAAGTTTAGGGATAATAATATTTTATTTTATTCAATTTTTTTTTTTTTTTTTTTTGACTTTACAGACCTTGTATATCTTTAGCTGCCTTAACCTGCCTTCTCCGGGCTTCTAATACCTCTGACTATCTTGGCTATTGCTTACCAGTTTGCTGCATGTGTCTCTGCAGCATCTTTGTTGTTTCTATCTGTCCATCTGTTTTTTGGCGTCTTTTGTGATATTTTGCGAACTATTGAGGAATTCAATATTTTTGAGAGGCTTCCTGATGGAATGCTTTGAGCTGGATGCCCAGCCAATCTTAATTGCCTTCATCTCATGAGATATTGATTTTCCAGCTCCTATAAGCACTTCTTTATTGTTTCACTGTTCCATGTGTTAGCACGCTGATCCCAGATCACTCCAGTTTTCATGCAGAGGATTTTTCTACTGGGGGTGCTGGCTAGTATCCCGATTCCACAGCTGCATTTCAGAACTGGCTTTAATATTATTGTTCATCCTTGATTTGAGATTTCTTGACATGTTAACACTTTTGAAAAAGAAGAAACCTCTGTTTGTGCTTGTTATAAGCTGCCGTCTTTCTGACCATTGGTAATTTATTGACATTGTGAAGTCGAGGTATTTAAATTTATTCACTTTCAGGAACTATTTTCCTTCTACGCAAATCCTGTTATTGCAGTGGAATTTTCACCTTAATATCATATATTTTGTTTGATCTTAATTTTCTTGAAGCTCAATTGGCTTTGCTTATGTTATCAGAGTCTTAGCAAGTCTCTGAATGTCCTCTTAACTGCTTTCAAGCACAGTTGTATCATCTACGTATGGGAGGATTTTATAATTCATTCCGATGTACATCCCTCCATTTTTATGTGATGATATTCTTTTCACCTTTTCCATGGTAAGTTGATCAGCATCGATGAAAGTATATTTCTCAACTGCAAACAAGTTTGAACTTTGAAGGCTTTAGATGCTTCTTGCATCAGAACATTTACAACCATTTTTACATGACTTCATCAATCTCACCATTTCCTGGGAGCTCTCAACTCAGTCATGATCTTCCAAAGACAGTTTCTTTCTTTAAAATCATAAGCTGTTTTGAAATTGACTAATAAGACTTTCACACCATGAGCTACTTCCCATTGTTTTTGGGCACCTGTTTTAGGACAAAGATTTGGAGTAGTGTGCTCCTTCCTCTTTTGAATCCCGATTGGTGATCCCCTATTATATTTTTTTAATCTGGTTATATTTTATTTAGGAGAATATTGTTCATAATTTTTTAGACAATAGGAAGGAGTGTTATGCCTCCGTAATTATCCCATCAACACGGAATACTTTGAGTGACATGTTTTTTACCACTTAATTTAAATAAAGCATTAATTTTCACAAAAAAAAAAAAAAAAAAGAGATCTTATTCAAGGTTCTAATAGTTGTAATAGCTTGGCTGCATACATCTTTTGAAAACGATTTCTAGTTCTGTTTGTTTATATTTACATTCCATTACAACTTCAAGAAAGAGTTCTAAGATATGATAATCTAGTTAATATAGTTTAAATCCAAATTTGAACTTTTTTTGCAAACATTTTTGTTTGATATCATCTTATTATTATTTACTTTTAAAATTATTAACAATTGATAAATTTTCAGTTTGCAATTAGGTGATAAAGAAAATTTAGAGACCTATGGCAAATGTAACAATCCAAATGGACATGGCCACAATTATACAAGTACGTCTTTTTTTATTTAAATTTTATTACTTATTATTTTTCTTTGTCCATTTCATATTTCCAGTTTTATAGGTATTGGTATTACTGTAACTGTGGAAAGTTGTATATAAAGCAATATGTTTGTTTATTAATGATTTGGGGGTACTGGCTTTAAGATGAACCAATCAAAACATTGTATTCATTTTAACCTTTTGGCCATTATTAATGAGTGTTGGCGTTTTTATTGATTTAGTTAAGACAGCTATTGAACAGACAAATTAGGGAGCTTTTCTCTATGACATGACCAAGCACAGATACTTGTTAGTGGTTGGTCTGATGATAATCTTCGTAAGATGAGGGTGCTTTGTCTGTAAATTATATCTAGACAAGATTATGTTTATCTAGTGTAATTAATAATAAGAATTATCATTTACATAAAGAAATATTTCTACCAATCAAACATAGATTTCAAGAAGGCCATAAACCATTAAGGCTGACCGTCCACTGAAAGCGCAATTGAGCTGAGCATAGTAAGAGGGGTTCGGCAACTGATTGGGTAGTGGAGCTCAGCTCAGTCAGCAATTTGCCTTGCATTGGTATCCATCTCATATTCTGTATAACATTTTAAAAAATAGCAAAGTTGATCATGTCGGAGTTGAAAAGAAAAATTAAATATTTGTGTATAAAATCAAATATTTTCCCTTAAACATTCAATTAATGTTTGAATTAATCCTGCATTAATCTGCATGCAGCTCTGTTGCATCTTTGTTGATTCTTTGTTGAACAAACAGAACTTTCTTCTCCTCTCAAAGATATTGAAATCCCGAATCTCAAGAAATCTAAAACTAAGGGTGTACAATGCTATGTTAAAGCCAGTTCTAATATATGGCTGTGAAATGGGCGGGACATGTAGTGCGTAGCAATCCATCTGGAAGCCTAAACGTAACAATGAATGCTTCAATAGAAGGCGAAAGACCACGTGGAAGGCCACAAAGTAGATGGATATCCATCTACTATCCATCTACTTTGTGGCCTTCCACGTGGTCTTTCGCCTTCTATTGAAGCATTCATTGTTACGTTTAGGCTTCCAGATGGATTGCTACGCACTACATGTCCCGCCATTTTCACAGCCATATATTAGAACTGGCTTTAACATAGCATTGTACACCCTTAGTTTTAGATTTCTTGAGATTCGGGATTTCAATATCTTTGAGAGGAGAAGAAAGTTCTGTTTGTTCTAGTTATACGCTGGTCTATTTCTGCCTGTTGATCATTCATTGAGGTTCTTGTGGAGCCAAGGTATTTGAATTTTTCTACTCTCGGGAATGATTTTCCTTCTATGCAGATGCTGTTATTGGGGTGGAATTTTCGGCTTATTATCATATATTTTGTTTGATTTTAATTTTCTTGAAGCCCATTGGCTCTGCTTCTGTTATCAGAGTCTTAGCGAGTCTTTGAATGTCCTCTTGATTGCCTCAAGGACAGTTATATCATATAGGTATCGAAGGATTTTATGATTCATTCCGACGCGGACCCTTCCATTTTCCTGTGATGTTGCTCTTATGCCTTCTCTAGGGCTAAGTTAAACACCATTGGTGATAGTCCATCTCCCTGGCATAAGCCCATTCAAACTTTGAAGGCTTCAGATACTTCTTGTATTAGCGCTCTGCATTTGGGTTCATTTGTACACACCTTTGTCAATCTCACCAACTTACCGGGAATTCTTAGTTCAGTCATGGTTTTCAAAAGACAACTCCTGTCCACAGAATCATAATCTGCCTTAAAATCGACATATAGGGCGCGGATGTCCTGAGCTACTTCCCATCGTTTTTCGAGTACTTGTTTTACGATGAAGATCTGGTATAGCGTATATATATCATTTTATATATAGCATATATAACATTTTAAAAAAAATAGCGATGTTGATCATGTCACAGTTGAAAAGAAAAAGAAATGTCGCAATTGAATATTTGTAAATAAAATTGAATGTTTTTCCTTACGCATTCGATTAAGAATTCTTCCACATCCATTGTATATTTTACACTGAACCAAAATAAAATAATTTGAGAGGTTGTGCAGTGAAAACAAGCAGGAAAAAAGGTGAAGACACTGAGGAACAAAGCCATACGGTTGGTTGTGAGGCAGTGGTGAGTAGGTGTGGTGGGAGAACCTGAACTGAGCTGACCCTTGTGCTATGCCGTTCAACTGTACTCAGTTCAACTCCGATCCACTTCTGGTGGCCTGCCTGTCATTAAAAATCTTGATTCGGTTTTGGAAGCTGACTCAACTATGCTCAGCTGCGCTTTTGGCTGCCGGTCAGTCTAAAAAGCAGGATTATTTTATCTTGGATGAAATGTAATGAATTGAGTATAGGTCAGTATGGTCATCACTTAAAATGGTGTCTGCCAAACAGTTAATCATTATCCACCAGTTACCAAGCTCCCCTAACCAAGTTAGTGGACCCGTCCTATAAGAAGCAACTCACCCTGGTCATTGAGAATGAATTTCAGAAATAAAACAAGTCCATAATAATATTTATTGCATTATATATAGCCTATAGACCAATGAGCTTGAACATAAATATTAGGCATTATTTTTTATTAGTATATTGATTCTAAGAAGCTTTTATTAAAACATCCAAAAATTAAATTACTGCTTATATTGCCTTGTAAATTCTCTAATCTCATAAGCCTTGTGGTTAAAAAAAAAAAAAAAGAAGGCCTAGAATATAAGAGTCGTCGTCCATAGAAACAGTCTTAGAGAAAAATGAACAATTATAAAGATCTCTCTCTTCCTAACTTAATTCATACTTTCTGATAACAAATTATGCAATAATGACAAGAAAAATAATAAGAAAATGTACAGACAATAAACAAAACTAAATAAAATTAATAAATACAAAAATTCAGTTGACGTGTTCAATAAATAATATAAAAATCAATAAAGGAAAAGCATTGCAATCATGGAAATTTTCGAATCTGAGTTTTCAACGGAAATAAATGTTTTGAGGCCCCCTGTGTCCAAATAATCAAGTCCCGCAAAATGGCCTATGTCTGTGTGTGTGAACACTCTAACTCAAAAATGAAAAGTTGTATGCAACTGAATGTGATTATTTAAGGTCTGTACTAGCCTGAGATGTTACAGAAATTTTTTCATCAAAATCGGCTGACCAAAAGTGCCACTGTATATCATCGATTTTACACATATTTTACTTTATTCTCGAAAACAGCTGTAACGATTTTGATTAAATTGATATAATTTAGCATTTTTTAATGTTAAGTAGGTCTTATTCTCATTGATTTCTCTAACAGGGTTGAAATGCCTAATTTTTAAAATGTCTTCTTCTAAAATACCTTCAATTTTTTTTTATTTGAATTAATTAACCTTTCACATAGGTAATTGTTATAAAAAAATGGCTAAATATAATGAATGCAGAAAATTGATTAAAAACTAAAGGAGAAATATGGGGAAGCTATTCGGAAACAGCCGAGAGTGCCCGACCTTTGCCGATCCTATTCCTTTACAGATACCTGATACCCCACTGTGCAGGGCTTTCATATTGTTTGTTTGTCTTTTATATATCACTTATGCATGATTTTTTAAAAATCTAGGATCTATTAATATAAACCTACTAATATATAATATTTCCTAGTGTTAAGTTATTTTTTCAATGAGTTTTCTGATAAATGTTTCCGATAAAACTCAGAATTTTCCAAAATATCTGTTTTTCTCCACAATCATTAGTATTTTTTGATACTATACAAATTCCTAAAAGGAAATGTAAAGTGATGTAAACATATAAATTTAAGGTTTGAGGGGGGAGGGAGAGAAACATGGTAATTAATTGTTGTAAATAAGTTATACCATTGTTTTCACTTTGACTTTCCTAAATATAATACCTACCTATCTACTCTAATGTTGGGAAGTGAAAGTTGTGTGATGTGTGATTTTTTATTTTACTTTCTGACCATAAATTTCTCTGATTTTTTTTATTACCAATATAGTTCAATTTATTATGATACTACCTTAAAATGGTCGCAGTATTGATAACAACTAACAATGATGGTAGTAACTACTTTTTGCTGTTATAGTTCACTGCAAACGCAGACCATCTATTATATTAAAGCAATTTACTATTATATTATATATCATATTATACTTTTTATTTTTATTTATTAATTGTCATTATTTATTTTGTTATAGTTGAAGTTACTTTGAGAGGACCTATATGCCCTGTAAAAGGAATGGTACTAAACATCAATGATTTGAAAAAAGTTATGAAACTTGCTATAATGGATCCCTTAGATCATAAAAATTTGGATAAAGATGTTCCATACTTTAAAAATGTTGTATCTACTACTGAAAATGTAGTTGTTTATGTATGGAACAATTTGAAGAAATTTCTTGAAGATCCAACATTGCTATATGAAGTTAAAATTTATGAAACAGACAAAAATGTTGTAATATACCGTGGTGAATAGTATTAAACAGATGTCATCAAATAACTCTACCTAAATTGATATTATTTACTTTATGCCATTGAAAAATTTAATTTTATAGAATTTCGCAAGTTTATAAATGAAAATTTTTTTTTACCTTTACCTATTGTCCAAGAGACAGATTGTTATAATACTCAATAAAAAAAAAAAAAGAAAGTAAACCTTTACCTATAATGTGTTCTAATGCTTGTTAGAGGTAAGGAAGGGGATTGCTTGGTTATTACTCTGCCAGACCAGCCTCTTTATTCTGTAATCACTTCCTTTTGCTGCTCAGGCCATACCATGGAACAATTTTTAAATAATATATTTAAAATTTAAGTTTACTCTTAGGTTTTGTCTCTCTTACCAGACTAAAGTGATACATCTTTCTTTATAAGATGCATTTATATGTGATTTGTGTGTATTTTGTTACTTCATATGAAATAAATCAATAAAAATTGTTTGAATTTTGTGTATTCCTCATCAGTGATAAAATGAAGAAAACTAGTTTAATTTTTATAATTACTATTTTGTTTAATTTTGAATAACCCTTGAATTTTTTTTCTTAAATTGTCTCAACTGACTTAGCAATGTGAGGATAAATATTTTTTTAACGAGAAACAAAGTTAATATTCATTTTCCATACCTCAAAAATATCTAAATTATATTTTTTATAGAAATTGAACTATAAAAATGTTGCCTAAATTAGACTTCCGATTTGATTGAATAGCACAAAAATTTTGATAACTCAAGAGGACTCTACTGATCCTCATGGAACTTGTCAGGGATTTCGGTCCTTTAAGACTTCATGAAATGGCTAAACCTGGAACTCTGTAAACAAATAAGAACTGAAGATATAAAATGAACACATCTGCGAAGTTTTTCCTTATTTCTACATTCTTTTTTTTTCCTGTTGGCATTACTGACCTTGTAGATCTTTTGCCACTTTATCGAACCTTTTCCATTTCTACCTATCTTAGGCTGTATCTTTCCGGTTATCTGTTTGCAGGTGCAATGCATCTTTGTTGATTCGATCTATCCATCTGGTTTTTTTGACCTTCCACGTCTCTTGCCTGCTATTGAGGCATTCATTGTCGTGTATCAATTGACCAATTTCTATAAGCACTTCTATATTGGTACTTCTCTTCCATGCGTTAGTACTCTGATCCCAGATCGCCCCATTTCTCCCCCATATCTTGCCTACTATTGAAATATTAATTGTCTTAAGGTTTCCAGATGGATTGCTCCAAGCTACATGGCCCGACCGGCCATCTTAACCTCCTTGTCTTCTTATGATGACATATTGATTAACCAGTTTCTCTAGGCAGTCATTTATTGGTACTTCTCCATGCATGAGTATTCATCCCAGATAGCTCCGGTTAACACATTGAGAATTTTTTCTTAAATTTTTCGGTACTTCTTACTAGATTGCTGGTTGGTGTCCAGCTCACGCAGTCGTATATCCGAACTCTCTTATAACATTGTAAATCCATAATTTGAGATTTTTCGGGATTTTAATACCTATAAAGGGAGTTCCTTGTCCGTAGCCGTTAGACTGTCCAAATCCGAGATTGCATACGTTAAAATTGACCAGGAGGTTCTAAATCAAGTGACAAAAGCCAATGTACTATACCTTCAGGTATTTAAAACTATTATAGGCAAGTTTAATCCTGAAGAGATGCCAAAATTCTGATATTTAAATTTGTGTTCCTTCCAGTTCTCTTATATGAATAAGAAAGATGGACAGACTTCTGCAAACATGTAAAAGTACTATTTCGCTGGTACTGCCCAAGGCAGCGGCCGCTTACGGTTGGGCACTGATTTAGTGGAATAGAAGGGAACCTATTTCGTTGGCGCTGCTCGGCAGTCTGGGTATGCTGTCATATCTAGGTAGCTTCTATCTTTGAAGCAGTGGAGTTGTTGGCGGTTATAGGTTATTTTATCATATCGGAGCATTGCTTTGATGATAACAGTCACCTTGATACGTTTTATTTCCTATTTTTTTTTAATTCTAGCAAATTTATAAGAAATATTGTTTAAAACTAAAACAACGCAATAGTAAATTATTTTATTAAGGTTGAAGTAACGAGATTATTTATTTATTCCACCAACAGTATTTTACAGCGAATTTCAAATATACCTAAATTCAAACGACATTAAATAATCCAACAAATTTTAGCGTCAGGTGAATACTAAAATCCACACATTGAAAAATGGATTCGTATTTTTTAATTAAAGTTCTGATTTACTGATTACTATTGATAAAACAATAAAACATCGCCTGCTGTGATTTCATTACAAATATATGATATTTATTACTAATCAATTATGTAATAATCACTATATCATTTTCTATCATACTCAAAACAAAATTGAATTGACATTTATTCAATATAATTTTTTTTCTAAATTTCTCTTCGTAAGCCATTAAATGGGTAGTTTTCAATTTCGTATAAAACCCTTCTCGTTTTCTTGTTTGGAATATATTGCTGATATTCTGTCTCCTTATCAACACCATTTCCTCTTTTTCTTTTAATAAAAAGAGATAGTAAGTCCATTTTTTTATAACAACCCCAGTGAGCAGTTTCATCGTAATAGCTTCGGAATAGCGGTTGGCAACGTGAAATAGCGGTCGCTGCCGTGGGCAGTGCCAGCGAAATAGTACCTTAAGCAGAATCACATTTATCCGAAAAATTGTTGGTAAGAACGGGAAGGACTGCGTCAGAAATGAAAGGATTTGGGTGTGACATCATGCAAGAGCGGCAACTAAAATGGTATGGGCATGTCTGTAGAATGGACGATACCAGAAAAGGCCAAGTGGTACCTTGAAGCCAGCCAGGTAGGAAGACGCTCTCGTGGCAGACCCAGGAGCATTAACTCGGATTACATAGGAAAACTGGGGACAGCAAGAAGACGCAACATCTCCCGAAGATGGGAAGACTAGCCAGGAACAGAGATCAGTGGGCTAGATGGACTGAGACTGCAACTCCACGCTGGACGGCACAAAGGAGTTAGAGGAAGAGGAAAGCTCTGTTAGTGGTTAGTGCCAATTATAGAATGGTCTATTTCTGACCGTTGGCCATTCATGACGGTTATTGTGGATTGGAGGTATTTGAATTAGTTTAGCTTTGGAAACGATTTTCCTTTTACGCAAATCCTGTAATTGGGATGGAATTTTCGCCTTATTGTCATATATTTTGTTTAATCTTCATTAATTGTAAGCCGATTTGCTCTGCTTCTCTTATCACAATCTTAGTGAGTCTCTCAATGTCTTATTGATTGCTTCTGAGGACAGCTATATTCAATGCTTATCAAATATTTTATAATTTATTCCGAAGTGCACTACTCCATTTTCACGTGATGTTGTTCTTATCTAAGTTGAACTTCATTGATGAGAGTCAATCTTCCCACTATATGTCAGTTCGAAATTTTAAGAATTGAGATACTGCTCCTTGTATTAGGACTCAACAACTAGGGTCATTTGTACAGCCCTTTGTCAATCACACTAACTTCCTGGAAACTTACAGTTCAGTCGTGATTTTCAAAAGACAATTCCTGTCCCCGGATTCATGTTCTGCTTTGAAATCGTGCACACCCTCATCTATTTCTCATTGTATTCCGGTTATTTGTTTTAGAATGAAGACCTGGTTTTCTTCTTCTTCTTAATCATACTAGGTGGTCTCCTGTTATGTCATAATACGTATATATCCGATTTAGTAGGATATTGGTCATTATCTTGTACACAATTACTCATACATGGAGCCTTTCTTTAGAACAAGACCGTATTCCAAGCCTCTGGTATCCTTTCTTCCTTCTATATTTTATAATTGTTTCCTAAATATTGAATATTTCCACATACCTTACTAAGGAATAAAATCTTCAAGAATTATAAAGGACATTAAAAACGAATAAAACTTTCTTTTCAATAACAAAAAATCATTGGAAGCGTCTGATGATTTATAATTTCAGGAACTTGAATAAGTTTTCGCTGTTTCCTAAGAGATAGTAGCACCAGTTATTATGTGCGTTTTATTTCTGATGGTAACGCAATTTTCTGAGAACTATTGTCGGTAAGCTTTGACATCAGTGTTTGTTAAGGTACTTTTTTGGAATACCGAAAAAAATTGAAGACGAAGAATAAGGGAAATTACTTAATGAAGACCCATGTCAGACACTAGCTAAACTTGGAAAATCATTACTAGTAGATGTCATAACGGTATCGAAACGTTGTTGCTGAGAGACGACGAACGTAAAGGAAACGTTTTTGCATCGTATAGCGACTGGCGATGAAAAATTGGATATAGTACGACTATCGCTCGGTCACATGTTGCACAACCGATAAAAACTTACTTGGTAACGCTTAAATGGGAAGTCTGGGTCCAGCCGCCGTATTCGATAGATTAAAAACTATTTCCGATGTTTTCCTTCCAATTATCACTTTTTTCGTACGATGTCACAGTCAGCCCAGGATTTCCACTCTTCTGAAAATATGAAAAAAAGGTAGACACTTAAGGTAGCCAAATAATGGTAAATCCCTAGAGTCAGCATCCCTAGACTCTGTATAAATACCCCTCCCTTACCCGCCTAACAGGTAGTCAGACATTGTCACCTAAGTACCAATGATAGTCACAACAGATGCAAGTAATGTAGCTATTGGAGCTGTAATTTCCCAAGTTACAGAAGGGAGGGAACACCCCATAACTTTTGTCTCAAGAACTCTAGATGACACGGACCAAAAATATTTCACTATCGAAAAGGAGCATTTGCAGACGCTCTAAGTAGAATAACAATTAACGCAATGACAAATCTTGATTTAGATGAAGATACAACTTGATAGAATACTCGGAGAAACCTCACAAATGCCGTTAACATCTCCAGATGTTTTTGATTTTGATGAAAATTAGTTAGAAGACAACGATATGGAAATAGAAGAAGGAAATATCTTTGATTTAGAAAATAATACTGCTCAATTAGAAAATGAATTAAATAATCCCAACTTCGATAATGAAAGTTTAAATACACAACATTCTCAAGAGAGCAGTAAAGAACAAATATTTATTGCTGATGAATCAAAACCGATCAACATAGAAAAAAATCAAATTTTTATCCAAAGAGGAAAAAACAAAACAAATACAACTAGAAAAAAACATTCAGTAAAAATATATATTTTATAGAAACTGCATACCCTTGGAGTAATGACTTGGAAGAATCTTTAATTGAATTTTAAAACGAAACCAAAGTTATGGAGTCTATTGTGAACTCAACGTAGAAACGGTTGGCAGTGATTATGAAGGAATATTCCAAAAGATGTCTTCAATAATTATGGAGAAATTCCCTAATGTCAAATTTAAAAGGCATAAAATCAAAGTCTTAAATGTAGAAACGAAAGAAGAACAAACAGAATTGATTAATAACCATCATACAGGTAAATCATTCCACAGAGGAGTTTTAGAAATTTTGA